TATGAGTTGAAGTGTATTCATTGACTCATAGGTTTATTCCCAGCAGGACATTATAAATTAAAATACATTTAAACAAAGACTAAAATAACCATGTTTAGGCTGGAATTGTCATGTATTAAGAAAAATATAAATATTATAGAACACCCAACATTGTTTTAAAACCTTTATCTGAAGTTTAAATGTTGACCTGTTCAAGTCAAGGTTGACCAGAGCAGGAAGAATGACAATGACCAGGCTTTAAACTTCTGATTACTCTGAGAATTCATTTGAATATTTCACAGATAATATGTAAGTGATGCTTTTATTGTTGCAGGTAGATGTAGTGATGTAACCCAGTTCAGTTCAGTTTGACCTTTTCAAGTAACCCCAATTCACCACATAGGTCGTCTGAAGGCTCTTCACACAAAAACAATTCAATCACACAAACATTCCAACTGATCCTGGTGATCAAACAGTGAATTCATCTCAGCTAATTGGCAAAATCAGTTTGAAACCTTTTCGAAAGATGAAGAGTCGTTCTCCAAAGTGATTTCAGTGATAATGCCTTCAGAGTGACTGAAGGGTGGACACTGAAACTGAATAATTCAAACTCTAAGCTTAAAAGCAAAACTATAGCATCCTCTGCAGCAAACCTCTGTGATTTGTTGTTACAAATTCTCTCTCTTCTGTTACTTAATGTCTGTGCACCTAATAAGCTTGTTAGCAGAAAACTTTCTTCTCTTCAATTATCTTCGTCCAGTTGCTGCAGATTTCTGAGCTTTATGATTCGTCGAACCGTGACCCGGCAATCAGCAGGCAATGGCTCCTTTAAGCAGCTGCCTAGCAACACATGATTATGCCACAGGAAGCAGGCGAAGCAGTCTCTCGAGTTTATCTAATTAGGAAGTGACAGTAAACAAGAACGGTGAAGGTCGACTTGTGCACCTCCAGATGCAGAAGGATTTGTGGGAGAAGCGCTCTGGAGGTTTGAAAAATCAGTCTATTAAAAAGGATTTATTGGACTGAAACACCTGAAGTACATTTGAAAAACAAAAGTATCTGGAAAAGCATCTTCCTGTCAGCACCAGCAGATAAACTAATAGGGATGAACAAAGGTTCAATAAGCAACTGGTTGTCCAACGACACACATCAACCTTATCTAACATTTATCAAAAGTTTTACAGATGAATTCTGACTTCACATGCCTAACGTTAACCTAAAAGCAACAGAGGAAAAAGGAAGCAGTTTAAAGTCTCGTGAACGATATAGGTTATAGTTTATGTTTTAAGCGTGTGTGTGACTGATTTGAGATGTTTCACAGTGCCTGTTTTACTACCTCCATTAAGTTCAAACCTGTTTGTGTTAGAAACAAACTCTCACCAGCGAGTGTCTGTCATCTGTTCCTCTTCTGCTCTGAATCAAAGAGCGTCTGGGCGTTCATCCATCATCCACCTGCTGTGCGAACCAACATGAGATATAAGCCAAACTGAACTCCGTCCTGCGGTGGAGACGAGGCGGGGCTGCGCCTTGGACAGATCGCCACACATACAAACGACAAATCGCAATCTGAACTGAAGCTAACATTATTTTGTTTTTGGACTGTCTCCAGTTTCTGTCTCCAGTTTCTGTCTCCAGAAACTGGAGACAGAAACTGGAGACAGAAGGCCTCAGCCGGGGTTTGAGCCAAAGCCCAGCGACCTCCTGTTAGGTGACCACTACACAGATCCAGAGCCAGTCAGGCACGACAACTTGCACTGTTCTGTTTACCTCAAAATTCATTCATGTTGCACATTTCAGCAGCAAGGCATCGTGTGACAAGCAATAAACATTACAATTTGTCAAATGCCATCATCAAAATTATCAATATGCACCAAATATATTAGTCAGTTTTCCTTTCAGCCTTAATTTAAACGGGCAGTATTATGTATTTTCTAGGCACATGGTGCCATTCAACGCATCCTCAAGGAACAATGTTTACAGCTGCTATAAAAATGCTACATGTATCAAATATGACTTGAAAGAAATTTGACTTCCTCATTTAAAGCCATGAAATTAAGCCTCAAGAAACTCCTGCTCTTTCTGAAACTCCGCCTGCAGGCAGTCATCACAACATGGCTCCTCTGTTAACCCTTTAACAAGGTTGTTACCAGCCTTGATTTTACTGAGAAGCATAATGAGTTCAGCAGATGCACAGTTCCACAAGGAGTTTGCTAATTGCTGCTGACTAGTCTGAAGGAGCTGAGAGGGGGAGACAAAGGCGAGGGCTGAGAGGTGGAAGCCTGGAGACTGCAGCTCTGAGGAGGCGGGGCTAAGTCCACTGAGGTGCTTTGCACAATTGAAAGGTTTCCATGGGGATGAAAGGATTTATCCAATGAAAGAATTAAAGCAACACTCCAGTTTTGTTTTAGATGAAGGAATAACATTCTAATATGATGTAAAGATTAGAAAAAGTAGATTTTACATAGTACTGCCCTTTTAAAAGAACTGAGTGTTTCAGCTATTTTGCGGTTTAAGATTTGCTTTCAAAATGTTTCAACCACAAAGTAAAGAAGCCAAACAATTTTAGAATGGATGCCTGCACCAATGAGGAGGAAGGACAGATCTGCTCACATGCAGAAGATGTGAGCCGATGGCTTGTTACCTCATGTAACACAGGCAAAAAATCTGCTGTTTCACATGAGAGGCTGCGCTTACAAGTTTTTCTTTTTTTTACTCCACATGGCATTAGATTCTAACTTTATGCATTAAAACAAACAAAAGAAAACACATAGCAGACTTCAGGTAATGCCCCCATGAGCAACATGACCTAATTTAGTCAACTGGTAACGGATTTATCTTCGGTATATTCTATTTCGGTTCTGTCTTTTCTCTTAGTGTTCTTCCCCTCCTCCCCTTTGTGTCTGAACTTAAGCAGAGTGTTTTATCGGGGTTATATAACTTCACACTGACTCTTATATAATTGTACAATGAAGAGGATCAGGCTTTGTTTGAGTGCCTGGGTTGATGCAGAGGTTGTGAGATCTCGCACTGCACTGGGAGTCTGTAGTTCTTTTGACGACGTGTCACCCTGAGCCATTGATGATTGTACTACAAGTATTAATGAAAAGAAAGGAACACAATTTAATCCCAGACTTCTGCCATTTTTAGATCAGAGTCAAATGCTTTGGATCTCATGCCAGCAGACAGCATTGAATGTAAATGGAAGTACACTCCATGTCAGTTCTGGAAGTTGATGAAACGGAGTGTGATAAAAAAAAAAATAATAATAATTTTAAAAAAAGTTTTCTACAACCTAAATTCAAGCATATACAATATTCCACACTCTTGATTTATTGAACAAAAAATGGGGAAGCCGTGAGAGGAGATGCAAAGTGCCAGTTGCTTCTGGAGGATTTAGGACGTTAGCAATGAATCCAATTCACTTCACTGACTAACATCAGAATGTGTGATGACCCCCGTATCAGGGGGTATCGGCTGTTTTAGACTTACATAGGTGGAAATGACCTAATACTGAGGAGGAACGTCCTAAACAAAGACGTCCACCTGGAAAGAGTTGAGAGCCCACTTCCAAATCACAACACTCTGCTGTGATGATTCGTCTGAGTTTCCGATTTTCCCAGGAGTGGTCGTCCAAACAAAACCCCTCCTGTGGGCGCTGCTTGCACACACTGTTGGTTGGAGTCTTCAGGGGAAGCGGCTGTGTGTTCTTGCAAAACGAAGAGCTGCTCAGAGTTTTGGTGTTCCGGTTGTAAGTCGGGATGAGTGGGATGTGCTAACGACGTGCGATCAGACTTCTGATACGAAGACAAGCGACCATTGATTTGTTCCTCAGCCTGCTGCAATGTCCAAGCACTGAATGAATCTATTTTCAGACGGAGGTTGTGCAGCACCTGAATGTCACACAATACTGAATGAGATTCTGATCATTAAAGGAGTCAACATTTAGCTGTTTACCACAGCAAACTAGATCTGCATCAACTGACCTCCATGAACTCTTCCCAACGTTTTATGAATTTTGAAAGAATGTGTAGCTTTAGTAATGCTACTGTTTCATATTTTCTGATATCATATAGCTTTTACCTGGAATATGTTTTTTGTCCATGGTCCCTGATGCATGTTTTAGGTGTTTCTTGCTTCAGCCCACCTGATTTCAATTGACGGCTGATTCAGAAGCTGAACTCCAGTCAACTGAAACTTGTGCAGTAAAGCAGGGAGATGTCATAAACACACAAGACCACAGCTATGTTTCCACCCAGTTGTCATGCTAATTTTAAGTTACCTTTGGACATGTTGCAAGAAAAAGAAGAAAAAAAAAACAAAAAGCAAAATGTCACTTAGGTGTGTTTCCATCGACTGGTTTGAAGTGAATCAACCAGACTACGCAAAGTGTGTTCTTATCCGATGGTGATGTTAGGTTTGCCTGTCATGAACAGGAAGTCGCGGTTGCAAACTACCACTGCCCCCTCCAAGCTGGAGGTCAGGATGGGAGAGTTCACTTCCATCAGAACTTATTGAGTAAATGTGTTTCCATCTCCTGTTCTGTGCTTTGACTCTTTTTCAGAAAAGGCAAAAACAAGAATGAAAAACCTTTGGTTTTTTGCTTGTTGTTTTTTTGCAGAAATGAGGAAGTTGCTTAACAATGTTGAAAACGTTCCTGCTTACTGTCAACACCTGAATGTCTCCACTGTAGGATGATAAAGTATATTTCTATTCCGTTCTATTTTGTTGTCTTTAAATTGCCTTCAGGTGAGTGTGTGTTCATGGTGTGTGTTCATGGTGTGTCTCTGTGTTGCCCTGGAACAAAGTGAGTCGATGAATTACATACAGACTGACGTTTCCAGGATTTTATTTCTGTTCATTATGTTCACATCTAATGAAAACACATTTAGATGATAGTATTACGTCAAACCAAATTTAACATAATGATGATAATAAACTAATAAAACTTTATTATGTATCAAAATCTTCAAAGAGCATTATAATCTTGCGATCTCAGCTCCTTTGAACGAGCAGCATAATCTCTCTCTCAATTGGCATTCTTAAAATAGTGCCACTGGGCTCCTCTTCACCAAATATAGGTTATCCAAACACTCCGGCTCGCTCCCTCTCCCTCTCCCTGGGTCGTACCATCGCAGGCGGGGAATGAACAGGAACTTGTGCGCTGGGAGCCGGAGATGAATACTTCATCCCTGACCCACATAATGGCGATATATGAGGCTCGGTGAGGCGCTCCGTGGCGCGGCGGCGGCTCTCCGCGGCTCGACTCTCATCTTCCTCCGCCTGGATCCGACTCTGCTTTCCTCTCCTCTTATCTCCTCTTCTCTCCTCTCCTCTCATCTCTTCTCCCTCTCTCCGTCTCGCTTTCCAAAAAGGCAGAGAGGAGGGAGGAACGGAGACTTCTGCCGAGGAAACGGCGACGGAAACGGAAAAAGTAAGTAACTCCAGAGGGAAAGTGAATGGAAATGTTCTCGCTCTGGGTGATGAGGCGCGGTTGTTCCTGGCTCTTCAGCCAGCAGAAGGTGAGTGGAAGCTGCGCTCTGAACTTAGTGGCTGAGACTGATGTAATGGGAAACCATAAGGTATTTCAAGAGAATACCTTGAGTATGGTTTTACTTTAAACTTATTTCAACTTAAAAAGAAAATTAACAGAGTGCATTTAGTTCCTGTGTAACTCAAAGTTTTGTCACACTTTGGTTAAATGGTAAAGCTACTATAAAGTAATTTATTCATTAAAAAGTAACAGAAAGAATCACAAAACAACAGAACAGAATGCCACCAAGAAGACAAAATATTAAAACAGAAAACTAAGTACTTCTGCAAGATTTAACGTGTTGAATATGAAAACAGGAGGCAGCGAACCACATGAGGCACATCACGCTTTCCAGCCACACACAATTATTTTGTAGCACAATCAAGTAACTATGTTATCTTCAGTTGTTATGAAAATGTTGCATATGTCAAATGTGACTGAAAAGAAAAGTGACTTTGTATTTCAACACTTTAAAATCAGACACCTGTCTCTTTAATAAAAGCTCCTGCTCTTCCTGAAACTACGCCTTCAGGAAGTCATCACACCGTCCCTGTCAAAAAAAATCCCATGAAAATCCCATGTGAAAGGCACGGCTCCTCTATCAACCCGATAACGATGTTTTCACCAGCGTTGCTCTGAGAAGCAGCTGCTGTAATGAGCTCAACAGATCTGCAGTCACACCAGGTGTTTGCTAGTTGGCTGCTGGCTAGTCTCGAGGAGTGGAGTGGGGCAGGTGTGTGGAGGGCTGCTCCAAACTGCCGCTCCGAGGAGCAGCTTCGCCTTGGAGGCGGTGCAAGGTCCACCCAGGCGTTTTGCATAGCTGAATGGTTGCCATGGAGATTAAAACATTTCTCAGTAATGCGTGAAAGAATCACAGCAGCACTTCAGATGTGTCTTTCACGAGGGAATAACTTTATAACATCATACATAGTGGAAAAAAAGGTTGATTTCAGGTAATGCTGCTCCTTAAAGTTGCAGCTAAATGTGACTGAGTTGAGCTATACACACTTTTCAGATTTTTATTTGCACACACTGAATAACATTAGGCTATTATTTTCAGTAAGTCAATTTTATCTTTTGGGGGAAAATGAGCTAACAAGGTAATGCTGGCATTCACTGTAGCACATAAAATCTCAATAAAATGCTAAGACTTAATGTGACAAGAAAACAAGTAAGAAAGTCTAAAGCTTTTAATTATATTTTCAAGACACCTTTTTGGATTTAAGACGGATTTTTCATGGTGATGTGATCATTTGTGAGCGGATGAACAGAAGAGTTCACTCTTTCTCACTTCTCATGTTATGGATATCGTAAAATAGGTGCTGGTTTTGAAATGGCTTAAGTCTTGTGTTAATTTCTACCAAAGCACACGACAGATTTCACTCTGTAGTTTTATTTAGTTTTTGCAATAAAATAAGGTTTAAATTTCAAAAACTCCACACTCCCCCTAATTTCATAAGATTCAGAGGGAAGCAGCAGCCAAGCTCTGGTAAACAAGCATATAGCTGGGAGTTAACACAATCCCAAGGCAGACTGTCAGTTGTTGTTGCCAGTTAATGAGTAAGAAATGAACTCACCAATGGTGGCACCATACAGAACATGCAGAAGAAAGTGCAGCGAAAGTATCAAGATGAACTGTTTTGGGGACAAAAGTTGGAGTTCCTAAAAGCGTTTGTAGCCATTCGGATATCTGGATGCTTGAGTTGACTACTTCTCATTAATTTAAAGCATAAAAACAAAATGAAGTTATTGAAGCACCTGTATTTGGATGAGGGAGTGAATACGTCCCAATCTTAGCTTACAGTATCCACAAAGATTCACCAGAGGCAAAATCAAGCAACAGCCTGATGAAGACCCATTGATTCTCTCCTCCAGGAGACAGCAGGTCTGCAGACCTATTTAATGTTAAAGTTTATAACAGTATATTTATAAAAAGGTAAAAGGTGGTTGAGGAAACTCTTACAAAGCCCATCAGTGGAAGAAAATGAAGCACGGTGGTGGAGGTGTGATGACCTGGGATTATCCTGCCATCACTGAGTCAAAAATGTAATTCTTTGTATTCTAAGCTATTTCTAGAGTCAAATCTGAATCTGTTGTAGATGAGAGAGAAGAGTAGAATCCACTGATAGAAGCTCTGCTGGACAAGAAGTGATGACTTTTCAACACAAACTGATTCTAGCTCTGGTTTTGCTCCGTATATCGACTGAACATTCTGGTTTGTGACGTCTTCCGTTGAGGTTACAGTAGATTTAATTCATCAAAAGACATCAATGTACATCTTGATAAATGAACAGGTGTATTCTCTTTCTAATCCTGCTTCCACTTCCGTAAACTTCGCCTATATTGGAAAGTTGATCTATGAGGTTAATTTTGAAGCTGATTGGACGGTTTGTGTGGTCTGCCACAGCTCACTGGCTTCTTCCAGGCCCCTGGCCAAGCATGAAACCAAGATTGATGATGATGGACCTATTGTTGCAGTCCTTCTGACAGTCATGACTCTGAATATAAAGACAGTTCAAGCCTTATCAGAAAGGTCACTTTACTCAATATTCAGCGCACGTGCCGCGGTTCGAGTTCGTTGACGTGACAGAAGAAGAATGACATTTCTGTTGCATCCCGTCTCCCTCGGGGAGATTGGCCCAACCTTCCCGCCCGCCAAGTGGCTTCATTTTATTCCACAAATTTCAGAGTTCTGTTAGACGCAAGTTGTTTCATTTCTACATTAAGACTGAATAAATTTATCAATTTGGTGTTTATCAAGAAAAGTGGGGATGATATGAGTTTCGCTTACAACCGGCCGATAACCCTGCAATCTGTTTGGTGGGGGAGGTTGCTGAAATGATCGTTCATGTGGCAATAAAAGCGCCACATTTGACACAAAAATGTATGTCAGGTCATGCTCTAAAAAAATTCATAAAAGAAAAGGAAAAATGGTAATATTTACAAATACTAAGACAACTTTTGCATGTAAAGACACATGTGACCAACTTATGCTTAAAGGGGGACATTTTGACATTTCTCACAATCAAGTAACTATTATAAGTTTTTATAAAATCGTTTTTTATATATATACATCGATCAAATGTGACTTAAAAGAAATTTGACATTGCAAATGCTTTGAAATTGGACCTCTGTCTCTTTAAAAACTCCTGTTCTTTTTGAAACTGCACCTTCAGGAAGTCATCACAACATGGCTCCTCTGTTAACCCTTTAACAACATTTTTTACCAGCGTTGCTCTGAGAAGTAGCAACTACAATGAGCTTGACAGAGGCACAGGTGTTTGCTAATTGCAGTTGGCTAGTCTGTAGGAACTTATTTGGTCTGTTGTCTTGACTACTAACCCAGCGCCTGGCGCTCTGTGCCACCAGGCGTTTTGCACTGCTGAGTTGTTGCCATGGGAAATTAAAGAATTTCTGAAAGAGTCAAGGCAACACTCCACGTTTATTAGTGATGAGCAAATAATTTTATAACATGACGCAAAGCTCAAAAAAGTCAATTTTACACAAACCTGCCCCTTTAAATGTTGTGGATGCTGAAACTATGCAACAGAGACCCGCATAACACATTTTGATCGATATGACAGAATTGTACATGATCGCACGTATCAATGTACAGAAGCATTTGCAACTTGTACAAAGAAAAGAGAAACAGCTCAAGTCACACAATGATCTGAAGACTGAACAGACTGCTTTGACAAATTCAATTCTGATCTGAGAAAAGTCCCAAAGCGTCTGCGAGAATCTGTAATACAAAGAACAGATAAAGATGAAAGACATGCTGTGGCAGTGTAAACCCACTGACTGCTCAGTCTGTAAGGTATTCATTGTGTTCACAGCCGGGGGGAAGGAACTGTCTCTGTCAAGGCTGGTTTTTAACCAACAGCGCTCTGTAACTAGAAACAGTTTATGTCCAGAATGTGTACGGTCTGTAGAGATGTAATGGATTCAACACATTCCTTAAAACAGTAGCTAGAGACAGAATGAGATGGCAGTTTTATTTAAATTGTTCATTCTAAGTCTCATGTTTATTTTTTATTCTTTTCTGCACATCTATATTTTAATTTTGAAACAATTTGCCATTTTTATCATGTAGTAAGTGCCAAATAGGTTCAAACTTCCTTCTAACTTGTTGAAAAAAAAGTCTGATTTAACTAAAGCATTCAGCCATCTTAGAGTCTGGCTTCTGGTTCATACTCACAGCTCTGTGGATGGTTGTTTCAGCCAGAACCTGAAGCCCTAGTTGATCTCCTGAGATCAGGTAGATGCTGTTGTCCTTTTAGCTGAATAGGTTATCTAAATGGAAATAAAGCAAATTTTTTCCAACTGTATTTTTCCAAACGGGTGACCTTGCTCTTTTTATTCCTCCTTTTTTGTGATCAGATTTTGGGGTTTCCTCATCTGCCTGCTGATGGATGCAGCTACTGACATCTGAAGGCAAACAGCCAGGTTAGGGTTAGGGTTAGGGTTAGGGTTCATACTAGGTTTTTGTATTTTTGTAAATGCAAAAAGTGTAGAAGTTTGGAATTACTGCAAAATGTTTAAAAGAGAAAATTCTGAAATTTTTGCTTTTATTTAAAACAGAAGAGCACTAAATGTTGCCCACTGATGCTAATATATTATAGCAAATAGACCAATACAGTTGTCCTTAACATATTTGTTGTTATTTGGATTCGTGTACGTAAACAAAACCAAAAACATAAAATGAACTCTGGCTAAATGTAGTGTTCAATTGTGTCAAAAGGTATGAAAATATCATAATGTTTCTTGTCCAACTGAAGCTGATCTCATGAAGGGCTAACTTCTGCTTTAGACTCCACTGCTGAAGGAAAGGCATTCTGCAAAGCTCTTGTACATTTTGCTGCCGTAAGTCTGGGAGAATAAAATCTCCTCAAATGGTTTCTAAATGGACGTTTTTAACTGTCAATGCACACACTGTGGTTAGAAGAGGAATTACAGAGTGCACACCCCCCAAAAATATACAAAAGTTTCAAAGTAGCTTATTGTGGTAAGAGACTATCTGTGAGCGGGTGTACGTTCATCCTTCTCAAATTAGAAGATACAATTCTGAAGATGAGACCAGTTGGATTCTTTAGCAAGATGTAGATGACAAACTCATTGCCAAGGAAACAAACCTGGACACCCCAGATGTTGGTTGTTTCCAGCATCTGGTTTGTGTTTCATATCAATAACATAAGACTACAGTCCCGTACTACAGTGAAAAAATATTCAATGCTTCCTGTTCCGGCTGTTGTTCCACAGTTTTTTTGTGTCCGTCATTTTGTGCTGTTGAGAAAACATGGAGTTGCTCTCGCACTTATCAGATTTGTGTTGGCGCTAAAGCAGAACGTTGGTTTGACGTGGCGCCCAGAGCGCTAAAGCTGTGGGGAAAAGAAACGCCACAGAACGCAACAGAGAGGCATTTGTCACTATGCAATCACTCTGCCATGCACATGGAATTCTTTATTAGTAAGTAATAAACATAAAAAAGAAAAAAAAAACATGATTCAGCATCTGTGGTACAATTTTTATAATGGGCAATTTTCTGCTTTTTTTTAGGTAAACAAAGGAAAAGAAAAGATCAGGGCCCACCAGTGCTGGATTGAACCTGAAGGTAGTGTTTTTTTGTTTGTATTTTTACCCTGCTTCACCTTCCCATCCTCTTGTTTCAACCTCTATTGATTACCTTTGTCCACACACTCATGAACACAATTTGAGCCAATTACTATGCGTCGTGTGCGGCGGTTGAGGGAACTGAATCGATACCAGCCTCATTCTAACATTATCCTGCTCGTTTGCTCCTGGGGATGCCTCTCCCTGTCAGTCTTTGAACGAAGTTGAAACCCAACGCTGTGTCTGTGTGTGTTGTTCAGATGATGGACCATCACTCCTTGGCAATGCTGGTGTCATTTAAATTGCTCAGATTGGCAGCAGCGTTCCACAGTAACAGTTTGTTTGACAGCTGGTGGCAGCATTTCATCCCATCAGCAAACAGAGAATGACACTGCAGACATTTCTTGGCTGCTAACAACTCCAGGGCGGATGGTTTATTTCTTTGCTTGTTTTATTTAAATTGATTTGAACATCTTTTTTTTTTCAATTTTATTTTATTTGTGGTAACAAGAAATACAAGAACACAAGGAAGTTCAGGCTGGGTTCTCGCCTGCTGGAAAAGAGGCTAATGTACTCCAAGTTAACTAGCCAAGATGATTCTGACGTTGGTTTGTCTTGTGGGGTTGATGTGGGTGTTACTGTTCAGTCAGACAGCATAACACTAAAAACACAAACTGAAGCTGACTTACTGTCTGTTTAATAAGACACTGGACGCGTTTTATTTATCTTTCAGTAGCATGACCATTTCTCAAAAACAACCATATTTTTAGACAATATCACTTTTCTTGCTTTACAACACCTATGAAGAGTCAATTTAAAAAAAATAGAACAGTTATTTTGAGTTTCAATAATTCAAACTAAAGATGCATTGATTTGAATTTTGTGTTTGATTTTTAGACTTTGGATTTTGTAAAGGTTTGAAAAGATTCAGCGCCTGTCGATGATCATTTGTTGGGAATCGGCTCCGTTGTTGGTTCTTATTGAGGAAACTGGTCTGGGGTCTTTTGGAGGAATTTTGTCTGCTCTCCATGCGTGTGCCTGTGCTTTCTGTCGAGGGTCTCCAACCAGCGGCTCCCGGGCCACATGTGGTTTTTTAGGACTCCTCAAGAGTTCTTCAAAACTTTGGCCGAAAAATTATTAAGACCTGAAATATGCTTTAAAATATAAAAGTAAAACAATCTAATTGTAGAATTCACTGATGTGCTTTCTCGAACAGACTGTCTGTCAATGTGATGTGGCTCAGCCAGCTTCACAGGGTCCATACAAATGAAGAAAAGTTCTACTTTTTGCCACAGAGAGCAAAAAGAGAGCTGCTAATAATCGATTTTATTTATAAAGCCCATCAAATTGAAATCTCAAAGTTTTCCCCAGACTGATAGTGGCTGCCGTCGTTCGCCATCAGCCCTTCTGACCAACCCTAGCAGGTCAGGTGGGTCAAGTATCATTTAGTACAAGGACACAAGCGGCAAGAGCGAACCGAGAATCAAACTGCCGATCCTCTGATTACAACCTGCTGCCACCCTTGACACTGTTGCTCCGGTTACAGTGAAGCGTGATCCTAATCCCACTTTCCTTTCTGACATCAAACATCTATCAGTCTTTACTTTTCAAAGGTCTGCAGTGCCACTCACTCACTCACTCACTCACTCACTCACTCACTCACTCACTCACTCACTCACTCACTCACTCACTCACTCACTCACTCTCTCACTCACTCACTCACTCACTCACAGTCCAACCGTAACCTTCAGGGTATCGTGTTGGTATTCTGTCACTGACCGACACAAAGTTGCATAATTAAAGAGTTCAGCTGGATGAAGTCTGTTTATGAAAGTCTCTGCCTCAGTTTGCCACAAACTGTTCAGGGAGAAATTTCTCTGGTCAGATGAGAACAAAAGCAAAACGCCATGACAACAGTCTTGAGCCTGAACATCTCCCACAGTGAACTGCATAGGAGTGGTGCCGTCATGCTGTGGGGGATGATGCATTTCTTTTGAATACCACTCAGAGTTAATGGAAAGATGCCGGTAGAACCGAACTGAATGTGTTGGATCAAAGCGTATCCCCGTTGTGGAGCAAGTCCAGTCAAATTCCAGACTTCAGTCTGACTGAGAGCCTGTGGAAAAACTTGAGGATTGTTGCTGACAGACTCTTTCAACCCAGTATGACTGAGCTGGAGCGATGTCTCATAGAACGACTGCTGCTGCTCTTCGTTTAATGAGCAGAGAGTGAAACTGGTGCAACAGCAAAAAAGAGGAACACAAACAACAAACCAGCTTATTTCTGCGTTAGAGCAAAGGTATGTCTTCCAGTACATCTAAAACATAACCCAGGTGAAGTGAGGACAAGTTGTTTGCTATAGTTGCAGTTTGCGTTCAGACGGTGATGTAGTGCTTTAGTTCCAGAATCCAAATGGAAGGCAGCAGACGATGTGCTGCTTAAACACCTCACTGCTTATGAATTCTTGCTGAGGAAGTACAAAATTGGGTCCAACAGGCTCAACTATAACAAATTATGGAAAAGTAAACAAACTTTAATTGGTTCAGGTCAGCTTCCTCAGTCTGGAGAGCAAAAATTGCTTTCTTGTGCACAACAAACTGCATGCTAAATGACTGGGACCCGGCAGCGGCGGCGCTCTCCAGAAACACTCAGAGATCTCCGTTTATCTTCCTCTTCTTAACAATCTGAAGGCTTTCAGGTGAGCGGACTGGCCTCTGTGCACGCCTGCCCTGAAACGACCAGCATACACTCCTGTCCAGACCTCCTGCTGGCTCGGAATTCACTCTCACACACACACAAACACAAACACACACACACGCAGTCCCGTATAGAGTCCCGTAAACACACATCAGTTGCGGAGGTGTGTGCTTTGGAGGAATGAAAAATGCCCTCAATATCCACAAACACTCTCCACCCTCCAGCCCCCCCAAAGTCAACCACTCAGATCTTTAAAGGGTAGGGGCGCAGTAAACACACACAGTCACACACACACACGCCAACAAGAAGAAGAAACCATTAGGGAGATAATTCCAATTCTGCTGACAGTAGATAGGTTTTACTACTCACTCTCCCTATCACATAGTAATTACTTATAAGGCCACAGGGATTATGATGTCCCCGGCTCCCCGCTGTAATAGAGCCTGTGCTCCATATAACCCTTTAGCTTTGCTACCCAGTCTTTATCACCAGCCTAATAGAGCTGTCCCTCCCTCTCATTATCCCACCATATAATAACCTCCATCCATTAACTTAGCACTCTTCTGCTGCTCCTCACCATTACTTCCCTCTCCTTTATCTTTTATTGCTTCTTTCCTCCGCTCCTTTTCTTCACGAGAGAGCCACGTCAGGGGCCCCGCGGTGGTGTGTGTGTGTGGGGGGGCACAGAGGCGAGGGGGCCTGCAGTGGGCACAGCCCTGGCCTGATGTGACTTCTGCACCGCAGTGAGTGGAAGGAAGTCGGGAGTGTTAGCACAACGGTCGGAGCGCTCAGGAACGTCCCGGCGTTTTACAGCAGCAGAGCTTGAGGGGAAGCGGTTGGCTGTAGCGCTAATTGAATACACACAGGTCTTATGCAATAGGAGATGTTCTCTGGTGCATTATGTACGTCCTATTTAAGTCCACATCAAGCATTCTCCTGTCAGCTCCGCCAGCGTTTTTTTTTTCTTTTTTTTTCTAGGCCTGTATCTATTTCCGTCTCATCTCCTCGGTGCAACGACGTGCAAAGAGCAGCCATGTTGGGTGATTAGTGTCCTGCGCTCTCGCTGAATCTAACGTGCTGCAGAGCACAAGAGTGTGTTTCCTTCTCGGCCTTGTGCAGGTAGACGTGTGCAGGAAACTTTTTTGTTGTTGTTTTTTTGCTTAAAGGGACAGTGTTTTGTGTTTTCCAGGTACATAGTTCAGTTTTATTGTACAATAAAGTAACTGTGATACCATCAGTTGTTTTAAAAATATTATCCAAAGGACTTAAAAGACACTTTTTATTTTAACACCTTAAAATTGGGCGTTTTTCTGAAACGTCGCCTTCAGGCAGATGGCTCCTCTGTTAAGCATTTTTACCAACGTTGCTCTGGGGAGCAGCTCCTGTAATGAACTCAGCAGATTCACAGATCCACCAGGTGTTTGCTATTTCCTTCTGGCTAGTCTGAAGGAGCTGAGTGAGATTTCTCAAACATGCTTGAAAGTATCAGAGCAACACTCCAGGTGCGTTTTTGATTACAAGCTAAAAAACATGATGTGCAACTCAAAAAAAGCATTTTTTTTGAGTTGCCCCTTTAAATATTTCTTCAGTTTAACCGTTTTAGATCTTTAAACACGTTTTGATATCAAATAACAATGAGCCGTGTGAAAACACAAGTCGATTTCATTTGCGATGTCTTATTGTCTGCTTTCTGTTTCCCTTGCTGTCTGCATGTATCTGTAGGCTTCTGGCTTCTGCCGTTTGATTGGTTTTATTTGTAATTATTTTTTCCATAACTAATCACCACACACAAGTTGTCAAGCGATGAACAGCTTGACAACTTGACAGATGATCACAGCTCACAAGTGGAGAAATCACAAAGCCAGTGGAATGTTTCTCGGTGAAATGTTCCATCAGGCTCATATTGACAGTCCAATGTCCCCAGTGTCCTTCTGGGGACAAAGTCCACACAGCCTTCAACATAAACTGGGAACTCATAACAACTCGGCTTTCAGAATATCCCTCCTGATGTTCAGAGCTCCTGGAGGAGGGACTGTTGGACCAGATCAGTTCCAGTAAACATATTTGTCACAGAGAGTCCCCACGTCCCCATTACAATGTTTCTGTAATTTAAAATGAAGCCATGATAGATTGTTTCAAAACATTTTATATTTATGCCTTGTAGTTCAACTGCAAAAAAGAAAATCAACGGGTTTAGAGGAAAAATGAAAAGGTGCAATAAACTGAATGCTTTATCAATGTAGCGAAAACCTCCTAACCCAGCACCAGCATGCCAAATGACATGACAGTCAAAGGTCAAAAGTC